AACGGGTATGCTGCACAGCCTTGCCATAAGTAGCCTCACGTACGGCCTCACGTACGGCCTCACGTACGGCCTCACGTACGGCCTCACGTGAGGCCTTACGTATAGCTGGCCTATATATATAGCCTCACGGAAACGGTAAGAATGCACAATGAAATAGTGAGGCTGTACAGCCTTCCCATTTCATATAGATGCGCGTGAGAATTAAGCGCCGGAGCTTCCTCCGAGCCCTCCGGACCAATCAGAAGATCAGACGTAAGAAGGGTGTATACGGAGTAGAAAAGGGGTGTACACCGAGTAAATATAGGGTGTACATTTAGCAGCGCCCTATCTAAAGAATAAGCTAAAGTGCCAAAAAAGACAGCAAAAAAAAAAATTTGACTGAGCCGGGAATCGAACCCGGGGCTAGCCGATAGTACGCTTGGCAACGGCTAATTTTACCACTAAACCACTCAGTCCTCGTCTTTCCATTACAGCATCTTGTAATGAAATTCTTGCAACTGTCCGCAAGTTTTTATTATATATAGATAACTATCATTGTCCTTCCAGTCTTCGCCTTCCTGAATCCTAGAAGTTACACCCCCTCTATCCCGCGCTGTGCGCTGCCAGCGCTACTAGCAAACCCTTTTGGTGTTGCAGCGAGCGGACGTGCGCAACAAGATCCGCAGAGGGGAACAGAGATAGCGTCGAGGCTGTGCGCGACGCTAGCAAAGAGAGAAAGCGTCGAGGCCGTGCGCAACCTCAGAGTGAATCAACGCTTCACCGCCAGAATGACCGTGGACGAAGAAAGTTGCCTTGTGAATTTTTCAAACATCAGCCATGTACTTGATTACTGTGGTCTTGTTATACAACGCGCAGAAAAATTTCAGTGGATTACGAGTACGTGGGTAACAGCCTTTTCTTTCGAAGCCCTATCGCGGTACTACAGTTACAAAAACGCACGAAGAGCTATTCAAAACAATCTACCTGAAATACTGAAGAAAGGTTGTCTTCGGGTTGTTGAACTCATGATCCTGCTTCCAATTCAGACACCATGGGCCGAAATCGACGAAATCCTTTGGAAACAGCTCCGAGCATGGATGAAGAAGAATCTTTGCGGCATATCATACATTCCTCTACGGTTTCTGGAAAAATTCGAAGTGGTCTATGATGATTACCGTAAAAACGCGGAAGTGCAGTGCCTCCAAAAATGTGTATATTTCTTCCTGCAAAAAAGCATTGCTAACAAAGTAGCTACAGTGTTGATAGATGAAGCACAACCAAACAATAAGGCATTTCTCCAGACCATCTACGACCCTGCTATTTCAAATAGTCTCTAAGGCCACATCCATTCTTCATAAGGCAAAGCACCGCGGGCAGAATCTGATAACCCACCACGTCTCCGCCGCCTCTTCAAGATATCTTGATTCTCTTTGGTCTGCACGGGAAGTATACAATTTCTCCTTGCAACCAAGACAGTCAAAATCTAAATAGTACGTTACTGAAATTAAGTTGCAGCGACAGGTGTCTGACAAAAGCTCCAGACTTTTCCAACCCCCCAGTATTACAGTTAAACCAAGGATACGATGCTAGCCAGTGTAGCTCATTCTCCACCGGATCGCCGTCCTTCTCGTTAGAGCTCATATCCGCACCGATGGCCACAGCTACACAACCCTTGGTGGCACCGCTGGGGGACGAGGGAAAATTGCTTCAAGTTGCACGCTCAGAATTCTCCAACCCACCGGCATCACATTCAAGCCAAGGGTATGACGCTAGCCAGTGTGCTCCATTCTTGCTATTAGATTCGCCGTCCTTCTCGTTAGAGCTTATATCCGCACCGGCGCGTACAGTCTATGAGATATCACAACCCTCGGGGGACAAGGCGGGATTGTTTTAAGTTTCAGGGGTCCATCAAGTGTCTTATCCAGGCGAAAGCCGCAAGAGAAGAAAGGTTTCTACGAACAAGATGGGTATGTAATGGCAGTAATTGCGACTGTATATTTCTAACGAGGCTCGGGCCAGGGATATCAAACGCTAATTCCACCCATCTGCAGCAAAACTACGAGATTCCACAGGGGACTTCAAATACCAATTCTAAAGGGACGGGCGAGTTCTTCTTTGCTCCGCAGGAACCAACCAATGCATGGTTTTTTGAGTTCTGCCAGTTAAACCCGGAGCCTTGGCCAACCTACTTTACGAGTACATGTACCATTCCACAAACTGATCGTCAACACGTATTTCAAACCCAGAAAGCCCAGCGTCCTTTACAAGAACAATAATAGGCCCAAGAATATTATGCCAATCTTCCCCACTCTTGCGAATCTGAGCCTTGCCCTCTATATACCATCCGGAGAGTTTTCTTTGATCATGGAAATTGGCGGTATGCGATTGTTCGGGACTTGCTTTAATCAAACCGATTTGAAAAACTACCGACTGCGGAAATTCCTATTTTGTTAATATATTAGCAAACTAATACTGTTTATTGTCCTGCCAGAGGTATATAACAAGGGGGCCACTAATCGCACACCCCCTTTTCACTAATCGCACACCCCCTTTTCACTAATCGCACACCCCCTTCTCACTAATCGCACACCCCCTCCCCCCCTGTCGCTTCACCACCTTATAATTGGATCGGATTAACGCGGAGCTTCCTCCGGGCATTCACCTATACGTCTATCTACACGTGATGCTATACGCGAGGCCGTACGGCCTTACGTACGGCTATATATATGGCTACACGAATCGGAAAGGATGTATGCCGATTTGTATAGCCTTATGTACAAGCCTAAGTCTAGTATAG